TAGATTTCTTTAAAACATTTAAAACTAATAAAATACTATTACTTAAAATTATAAACCAAAATTAAAATAACTTTCATAAATTGAAAATAAAATCAGTTATTCTCACGATTCCTATCCAATTTTTTAAAAGCTGTTACGACGATGATTATTGTTTCGCTATTATATTATATATATATATATATATATATATATATATATATATATATATATATATATACCCTCTCACACATAATTATATTATTTGCATTTCCAATTGCCCAATTACGTACATTCACGCCTTTGTATACTAAAGGGATAGAAAGAGGCGTATTACATTGCTACATTTTGCTAGTATTTTATTCCCATTTACGTAACAACGAGCAAGTCGTATGATAAGACAAATATTAACAATTTTATTTACTGTGTTATTATTAAAAAAGTGATGTCACGTAATAAATAGTCTATTACGTTCTTCTTCGTTTTTCTTTATAATAGAGGGGACGACGTAATTGTTTTCGTTCTTATCATATCACTGAACTCATTGTTTATTAAGTAAGCCAAAAATATGCCCATAATATCAATTCAAAAATATTCAAGGCGCTGCGCTGTGATCATTCCTGATAACGCAAGTACGCATAACAAATAGGAAAACAAATATGACCTTAAATAATTTTCCGGAGACCAAAGAGATAAAAAGGCTAATGGCTTGAACTAATGTGCGATTACAATAGGACGAGGTTTAGAACTAGAATAAAGAGGAACTTTTTAACATGCTAACATGTTGGAAAGGTTTAGGTATTCAATTTATATATCATTATTGACTCAGTTTATTACAGGCCTCTGCTAAAGCTTTATGTTAAGGAAGGTGTACTAGTATGTAATTGGATCTAAGTGCCTCTCTGTTGACACAATGGCATGAAGCTTTGTAAGGAGTACGAAGAGACCAAAATAATATATTTTTTGACAATAATGTATTTACACCTTGGTACCAATTTTAAACCATCCCACTTTAATTACGACTCTGACATTTTTTTGGTATTTAAAAAAAAACTCTATTATTCATAAGTAAAACAAAATGGAACTAGATCTGACTTTTTGCCTTGGCCGGTTTTAATTTAGCATATTCGAGTATATACCTTAATAATTTCATTTTTTGGACATTGTGTCTAGAACCTTAACTGGTACTAGAATATTAAGCGTAGATACACAAATTTAACACACTTCAATTACATCACAAATGACCACATTTGTTGTATTTATTCAATAAAAAATTGGGTTTCAATTTGAACACTGTTTGTAAAAATAAATGTTATTAGTTGCCGAGGTGAAATGTAATACTCACATGGATGAAGGAAGTCAAGTCTGATCTTTCAGCTTCGGTATTGGCACGTAAAAGCCAAGCGTTCAAGCTGTTACTGGACTAATTCTATTATGATTTGTACTAGCGGTATGGCAGCTAGCGCAATCTACGTACAATATGTACTAATTTGACCGCGGTGACGAGTGCGCGGGAGTGGCGTGATCTCAGTATGATGCGATCACAATCGACCGGCGATCACGAGATAGATGATGCCTTGTGCCTCGTATACAATGAAAGAGGTGATAGTTCGCGGGCTCACGTTTTCATACACCCGAATGCATTGTATTATTAATAGTTCGTTATCGGAACGACATTACTGCGACCGACACCTTGCCTTTTTGATAAATTTCATTAGCATTTATGAAATAAAATATCTTTCTAATGTCTAATATTAATGTACTATAAGAATAATTTATTTATTGTCTGCAAATTACATTATATATACGAGTATAATGACAAATTACAATTAGGTATAATGTTGTCGAAACTTGATTACATTTTTCGTTCTTATGATTTTCAATTAGGTATACCTACATAAGTTGTCACACTCGTTGTTATCTTTCATATATTGTATTCAAGTCTTATTTTTATTTGAAAAAAAATGTTTTTTTTTAATTATTATTTACGTAGGTACGTAAGAATATATAATTTAGTAAAACATTCACGTTTAACCATTTTGTACTCTGGTAGGTACCTGTTCAAGCCTAATCACATATATATTTGTTTTGGTTGCACGTGCTAACTTAAAGAACTACTGGTCCAATTTGAAAAATTCTTTCAGTGTTAGATAGCCCGTCTATCGAGGCAGGCTATAGGTTATATACCATCACGCTACGACCAATAGGATCAATGAAAAATGTTCTAAAAGGGGGGAAATTATTCCTTTTGAGACCTTTCGTTGCGTGCGCTGCGTATATGGTTAAAGTTTCGCAAAAATCATGTATGACAGAATTGTTTCCCTTTAAAGGTTTAAAAAAAATCCTGCGACAGCATGTCTTTCTTTTAAGGTTTGCTCTCTATAACCTATTTTATAGAACTTAATCAAATTGATTCTAAAATAGTAAATAATGCATTATTTGCAAAGGTTTCTATAAACATAATATTAATCCTTATCGTAATAAATACAATATTCATAAAATTGCGTTTTACATCATTTTAATTTAAATAAATACATATCTTAGAAGCGATCAGTAGGATCAGTTAGCTGTGCGAGATACTATCCCGCGCGGCCCAGACGCGTGGTCGGCTCCACACTGAACGGTTTTTGCGATATATCATCGTATATCTAATACTTTTAAAATAAATAAGTGAGTAATAAGCTTTATTTTAACTTAGTTATTTTTGTTAATTTCAATATCTTACCGTAACTAAGTAAGTAAATAGGTATCTACTCACTAACAATTTGACATAAGTGCTTAATGAAGTGCATAATTTACTTTGTAGTACGAGTAGGTGCTTAATTATTTTAGGGTTTTGTTTTTGATTTTGTAGTAATTTTCTGTAGGATTCTTTTAACGTGTATTTGTGATATCTCATCGTATAATAAATACTTTCTAAAAAATAAGTAAAAAATAAGTAAAACGGGGATAATATTCCTTTTAAGTAATAAATAATCGTACTAGTAAAGGAGGATCTCTCTGCGAAATCATGTAAATAAATGAGGACTCTAGTACGATCAGATCGCACCGCACCATAAATTGGTGCTGTGCGATCTGATCGTATTCCTATTCTTATATTCACCTTGATGTTCTATGCGTAACTCTTATCGTTTGTAACGACTTTAGGGTTGTGTTTTGTAAGCATAAATTACATTTCAATCGTACCAAGGCTTAGTACTCGTACTTGGAAATTAATTTTGATTTTGCCTAAATTAATAAAAAAACCGTTTTATTTCACAATATTTGATACTTGACCCTAGGAAGACAGGCCTTGTTAAAAAAAACTAGTCGTTAGATTTGTAGTTAGGTAATTAAATGTTTAAATCTGAGATAACATACGACGCATACCTACTTATCTACTTATTCTTAATTACAGATAAAAAATACATATATAACTTATTAGATTTAACGTGAATCTCTTAATTTTTTATTGTTTTGCTTTGTTTTTAGGGTTATGTACCTTAAAAGGAAAAAACGGAACCCTTATGGGATCACTTCGTTGTCCGCCTCTCTGTCCGTCTATCTGTCAAAACCCTTTATTTCGGGAACGCGTGGAGAGGAGGTAACAAGTTGAAATTAAAACTATATTCTCAGATCTACAGTACCTTGAAGCTGTGAAAAAATCAAACTTCTAAGTTAAAGAAAAAAAAGATACGGCCGCTTATGCTGCAAAAACGCATTTGTTGACACTCTCAAGGGAATCAAATTTTATAGGGTAGTTGACCTAGAACTCTTCATTTTGTGTCCTTAGTTAGGCAATACAAAAATAAATATTTTTTTATGACGATAACGTCATAAAAATACTGCAATATTAATTAATTAAAATATTTTAATTTAGTTTCTATTAATATAATTATATTGCTTTAGTAACGGTCACGGTTCTGATACAGAAGGCGATTCTCCTAAACACGGCCCGTATAGTGAGGAGGTTCCTGTCTTTAGGGCCCCCTTACTAGTACCTACCCGACGTCGGTGGTCTACTATTTATATATTTTTTAAATGTGTATTTTTTATCACATATAATATGTTAATACGTTTAAAAATGAATATGTGTACAAATGTAAATAAAGGGAATAATAATAAGATCGCATATCTCACACACGTCAGTATAATCCTAAGCTGTGGTATGTTAACTAGACTACTGATAAACATACTTATAATATGAAAATAATTGTGATATTTTTGAAGTTTATAGAGGAACTATACTTTTTAAACTGGTAGAGATTTGTTAACTACAATCTGAATTTTATATGGATAGTAGACAGCAGAAATATATATTGCAAAATTATATTTCAGTGAAAATATAATAGGCAGTTAATTTATCTCTATTTATTAAGGCGATCACATGAATAATAAATAAATTTGAATGTCTAACAATAAAGTATGTTTGTTTGAAATTAAAACATTGTATATATTTTCAATAACATAGGAAAATGATAGCAAAAGGGAATTGCAAAATATATCTAATCAAAATATCACATCAGTAATAACACTTCAAAACAGTAAGAACTCAAATTGGTTTTTGTGTGGATGGTCAATAAATTGCCTAAAACATAACCAAATGTATATACTGTATAGAATATAAAATATAGAGATAGAAAAATATGTCCAGTAATACTATAATTTATATAGCAGTTGGCAGATGTTTTTAGTGCAGTGCTTATACGTATAACGATAAAAAGGGATTTAAACTACAAAAAAAAATGTATGGCCTTATATTTAGAACTTAAAAATGGCTGAAAAACTGATGAAAAATGTTATTAAAGTTAAGGCTTTCGGATATATAAAATTTCTTAAAATGCCAAAGGTAACTTAAAAGTATACATAATGAAGATATAAATTTAATTTAAAAAAAAAAATTATTTTAACAAAAAAAACGAAACTAAATAAAACCTTACCTTACAACAAATTCCGATTTTACTGTATCTTTAAAATTAAAATATGATACTTTAATATTATGAGAACCTAACAAATGTTACTAAAGAGTTTAAAATAAAACTTACTGTTATTTTTTTCTTAAACTGCTCCTGTGTTTAAGATCACTTAAAATTGCACTAGACAGATGTTAATTATAGAAGCGCCGGAGAAGACTGTCTGCTGAATTTTCCAACGAGTGGTTATATACAAAAGTATTATTTTTTTAAATGTTGCGATCGCGAAGCGATAAGCGCGTGATCCACCGATCCACCTTCACGTCATGCATGAACTAAGGGTCAAAACCTACAAATCTGCGTGCTACGTTTACCTAGCCAGCAGCATTTGGATATGCATATGATTTTGCTATATTTTTTATACATATATTTATAAATAATATGTGCTGATTATTTAACATTTGCGTCGTAAAATACATATGTTACTCAATCCACCGATGACACAATGTCTTGAACTGACAGTTAAAGACCTACTTCAATACTTATGAGAATAATTTGATTAACGCATTCATGAAATGCTAACGACTAATACATGTTTATCAAAATATTCTATTAATATAAAACCTGTTTTAAGTGTTAGTTACTAAACTAGTTTTAAAACTATTATCATTGTTTTACTTTTAATTAAAATTCCTTTCATTTTGGAACTTATTTTATTTTGAAATATCAAAGGAAAACCCGAATCTATATATACAGGGTGTGGCGTAAATAGTGGTCCACCATTAAGGATTCGATAAACCAGATAATTTAACATATTATAATTTTATCCATTTTTACCCAAAGGTTCCGGAAATATATATTTTTTTATTTTTTTTTACGATATGTGTACCTCTTGTTACAAATTTGGTTGTAGTTTTAACAAATACCATTATTTTTTCATTTTGATTACTGGTAATTACTGCTGAATACTAGAGCTATCGTTAAATAACATGTTTTTAATGTAAATTTAAAGCTTTTGCAGAAAAAAAATGGTTTACTCTAGTTTTAACCCAAATTTTTAACATATCATGCTAATTCAATTCAGTTAAAATTGGATATCTTTTTGTTAAACAAAAGGATCTGCTATTGTGATACCATTTTGAAATTGGTATTTAGTAGGCATATTTTTAAATGAATGGGCACTGACAGCTTAGTACATTTTTTTTTACAAAAATCGGTCTTGAATTAGCATGATATGTTAAAAAATTGTTTTAAAAGTAGAGTGAAACCAATTTTTTTCTTCAAAAGCTTTAAATTTACATTAAAAACATGTTATTTAACGATAGCTATAGTATTCAGCAGTAATTACCAGTAATCTAAATGAAAAAATAATGGTATTTGTTAAAACTACAACCAAATTTGTAACAAGAGGTACACATTTCGTAAAAAATTAAAAAAAAATTATATTTCCGGAACCTTTGGGTAAAAATGGATAAAATTGTAATATGTTATAGTAAATTATCCGGTTTATCGAATACTTAATGGTGGACCACTATTTACGCCACACCCTGTATATATATGAATAAAGATTAAGTTGGTTTGTATATGCTTCAAGAACTCAAAAGCTTCAGCACCGATCGATCTCAAATTTTGACACGATTTACAACTAGCTACAAAAATAGGTTTAATATATTTTTCGCGTCAGTTTTGTTATTGATTTCTCATCAATGCAACCACATTGTGCCACAGCGAAGCGTGGTAAGGTACATCTAGTAATTATATAAAAATAAAAGATTCGTGCTCATTTTCTATGTGTACTAACATCCCAGAAGCGACTCGAATCATTTATAGCCAGAAGAATTCCGACTGCCTTGACGCCTTAGCGTTACGTGGTGATGTAGCTTAACTTTCTTAATACCAGCCGCAATTTTCCACCATCGTTCCACACGGCACAATTTTCATACCCATCACTTCGATAATTGACACTGCACCACGGTGCGCTTTTTATGACACTTTTCCTCGTAAAACGAATTCGTCGCACAACCAATTGTGTTTCCGAATCGATGCGACCTTTAAACCTTCAAGAAAAGCTCGTCCTACCTCAAAGGTAGGCAACGCGCTCGTAACTGAATCCTGAATTGCAGGCGTTCATGGGTGTTGGTCCATCAGGTAACCAGGCTACCTCTTTGTACCCTATATCATAAAAAATCACATAGTATCCACTTAAATAATAGGGGTTAATGTATAGAATTGCCGTTGTATAGTAACAGATACTTTGAATTGACATAAAACCTTCATGGTGTGAGATTTTCGTGCGAAGCATTTTTCACATGATACCTATGAGATTCTTCTTTTAAAAAATGTGCAAAATGCGATTTTGGACTTTCCGTTGTTTTATTCAGCTTAGACGTGAAAGATGGATACTTCGAAAAGCCGAGTCATTTTTAATACGAGTTCCGACGCCGAACTAACGCTGGAAACTTCGACTTGAAAAAGGAACCGCGTGGAAGCCCACCCACATAAGTAAATAACGCTGAATTGAAAGAGATGGTGAAAGGCGATCCGAGTCAAACTACCCAGGAATTAGCGGCGTGATGTAACGTTACTCTACCTACAATATTGACTCATTTGCAACAAATCAATAAGATAAAAAAATATGAAAAATGGGTGCCTCATGATTTGACTGATCTGCAGAAAGAAATGAGTGAGTTGAAACTTGTGTTACCTAGTTAAATCGGTACTGAAATGATGGAATATTGGATCGCATTGTGACACTTTGACTCATCATCATCATCAACAGCCTATGATAGTCCACTGCTGGACATCGGCCTCTCCTCTGAAAAGAGGTTTTGGCCTACTATACCACGATGGCCAGACGGGTTGGTATAGGGTTTCTTTCAGTCCGAGTCCGACACACCACCCCGCCGCAAACCCCGGAGGGGTGACGGTCCGAGGGGATTTCCACACGTTAAAAAAAAAAAAAAAAAAAAAAGGGTTTCTTTCAGGTTTTCCTTCTCTTTGCAGAGCTGTTGTCTTGAGTAGATTTCTCCTTTAGTTGACTTTTACGACATCCACGGGATGAATAGGGGTGGTGACATTACGTATTCTTACGTTACATTGTGTGGCAAACTTATTACACTACAAGTATAGCTAACTGCTTGTTTTCATTGAGTGAAATATAGAAACAGAAGGAATATATAAACACAACATTAATGGATTTATATATTTTATTTCTTTTAGGATATAAAGAGCATATTTACAATACATTATTAAAGAAACACATAATATAAAAAATATCTGGTGCATGACCTTCATAAGTGTTAGATGAACTATAGGAATTTGCACATGTGTGTACCTATTAGGCAAAAAAATAAACAAACTCAAAATTAGTAAGGTCAGGCGGGGCAAGTGCAATAGCAATATCAAAAACCACTGATTTTAGACAACTTACGACATCTTACATTAATGCAACAAACAAAAACATAGATCCACTTTAGATCACAGATGTCTCTGTTCACCATAACTTGATGTATCCACCATTTTAGTTTTAGTGTAATTTAAACCTGTTACCAGAGATGAACACCTGTTAATTAATCCCCTTAAATCTAAAATATTTTACGTGCTGCGGCAAACCAATGATTTGAGTACACAATTTAATTGTTTTTCTTTAAATCTATGTCTGTATTCTAGTCCTAGATAAGGAAATATTTTTTTTATAAAGAATTTAAAATCTTAACCTCAAAATAATCAAGTGAGGCAAGCGCGCCTAACTTTTTTGTAGTATGGCGCACTTCCCCCAAAGCAGGAGTTGTCAACTTTTATTCAATTCAAATTTTATTTTCTTTATTGTCAACAATATATTTGAATATAACCTAGTGTTACGTTTGTGTGCGTGTGTTTTAATAATTTTATGAATTTGCAGCTGAGTCGTGTAAAATATAACATTTAAAAATACTGATTTTCGTTTAAAATCTTCTATTGTTACACGAATAAGTTGTTAATTCAATTAAAAGTAATAGTCATAACTTATTAACGGATAGGTATTTTCAAAAAATCTTTAAGTGAATTATTTGAGTGACATTAAATAGGACATTTGTTTGGACACCCGGTATAAAAGTCGTTTAAAGTTAGTGCTAACAGTTAATAAATAGTACTTGTAATTTCCTTTGTTCGTTACTTTATGCGCGCTTAGGTAGGCCTAAGCTTGTTAATCGGGAGCAATAATCGAGGTCAGGCTAGTTTGCGATGAGTCTTTGGATGGGTGGCCGGAAAAGCATTGATCTGGCTTTTATTATTCAACATCAGTCATTAAGCCAAGTCAGAGACCTTCAGACTGAGCCTGAACAACTCTGACACTAGCTTGCGCACAGATCTTTCGACAAAAAGATGCAGTTGTTCAGCTAGATGAGTATGGACTTATCTGGTTGTGAACTTTACTGTAGCTGTCCTGTAAAGGTTAGTATTTACTTTATATAAAAAACAGCATTAAAGGTTTAGATCCCCTGATTAAAAGTCTATGGCGCGCTTACCCCAAATTTGTTATGAAAGCTGCAGCAACCTATAGTACTAATAAATTAAAAAGAAACCCAGAGTAATACGTTTAGTTGTTTATGTGCTATTGAGTATATTATCTGTTTTTCTGGTCAGATATGATTTTAGTATTATTTTTTTATATCGGCGCACTTGCCCCACTTTCCAGGCAAGTGCGCCTATATAAATGTTTTCCAATTTCTTATAAAATATCATAAAAATGTTGATAGATTACATTGAATCGTCTTTTCTTGCAGCTACAACATACCAAATAATGACAATTTAAAATATATACACTTATAAGTCAGCTTAAAAGAAAAATATTTTGCATTGAATTCTTCTATGCAAAAAATATGGCGCCCTTGCCCCGCATGACCTTAGCTATACAATAGATACACGTGTAAAATAAAAATAGGTATAAAAACTAATATGTTTAGTAAAAGTTAAAAGTCATTAAATCTAATCATTATCTTAATCTACTTAAATCGGCAAACAATATAATTATTAATCAAATTACAGATTAACGAATAAATATATATATATTATTATTTTTTAATTAAGTAAACAAACTAACAAGATTATCTATATATTTTTATCTAATCGACTCATTATTTTCCCATATCTTAGCTAAAGTCCTATTAAACTGTTTACAATATTTCATATGTGAGTGTTGTCACGTTATATTTAAAAGAAATGCATGTATCACTCATCACGTTTCACAGTTTACATGATTGATATCGAAATTGATAAACTTTGAACCTAACCTTATATTATATCACTGATAAACTAAACTCGTATTTAATTGCTTACCAATATAATAACATGCTATCTGATGTGTATAATTTTTTATTTAGCTGTACCTACTCTACCTTCTGACATAAATCAGAATCACCTGCCTTTACTAGTCCACTGCTGGACATATGCCTCTCCATAGAAAGGAGGTTTTTGCCTATTATTCCATGCTGGCCAGACGGGTTGGTATAGGGTTTGTTTCAAGTTTCTTTCTCTTTGCAGTACTGTTATTTTAGTCGGCTCTTACGACACCCACGAGATGACTAGGGGAATACAGAGTGGTTAATATAACGTTCGCGAATCATGGATCATGGACGCCCATATTCTTAGTAAGGCCTAATATTTGAAGATGTAGTGATTTCATGTGATGACAAATTTCATCCACTCACACTGCATCCAACAAAATGAGTAGTGTAGATGTAAATGAGTAGTAGCTGAGTAGTTAGTACTGAGCAAGCCTTAAGCCTGAACTACGCAGGACAAGACTGCAAAGAGAAGGAAAACTTGAAACCAACCCTATAGCAACCCATCTGGCCAGCATGGTATAATAGGCCAAAACCTCCTTTTTAGAGGGAGAGGCATATGAGCAATGATGACCATATGGAATTATCTAATGATGGAAATTTGAGGAGGTTTTAAAGGAATTTTTATTTCGTTAGGTTATTTCAAATCAGGAATACAGGTTAAGTCGACGCAGATACTTGAGGAATTTGTCCTTTGTAGAAACAATTATTATTAATTGATTTTACTATGAAAAACTATTTCCCGAACCTAATCAGTTTCAAGATATTGGACTTTTAATTTTTTCAAAACAATTAAATGTGAATGTATTGGTAAAAAAGGTAAAAAAAATGTACCTTGTTAGATAGCTCACAATACGTATTTTTTTTTTATAAATCTGCAATCTAACTGTCATAGATTTTCTTTTAAATACTCGAGAAAAAAAGAGTTCTTAGATATGTATTTGTTTTTGCTATTATCAATCATCTACTTCGCCCCAATTTGTTTAACTTAACAAATTTATAATTAAACCACAATAAACTACAATTTCATAATAACGCAAAAAATATTAAACAATGTATCAACTACACAAGAACAGTAAAAAATAGAAAACAAATAAGATACCACCATAAAAATACTATCTTTTTCGAAAATAATTTTTAATACTTTCTGTGAAATATCAAGCTATGGCACTGTTCGATTTGATCTGTGATACTGTTTGCAAAAATTAAGCAATGCGGGTCTTTGTCCGTTCATCTGAGAGTAATCCCCACTCACGAGATTCATTAAAGCGTCTTCGCAACCTTTAACAAACATAGGTGGAATAAAGTAAGTAAAGACCAGCACTTTTAGATATGTAAACACTATTTATTTTATATAGATCTTTTTTCCGTAATATAAAATCTTGTGTACAATATAACGATGACTCGAGAATTTTTGATCTTAAATTGATTAAAATTATATGCACTTGTAGTAGGTGATTGACATTTGTTAATTCGGCCATTCATTGCCGCCCTATAAAGTGTAGTTTTCCCATTAAAACAAATGTAGGTTTTTACAAATGTTTTAATAACTCATCCTAGGCAGTATTATTCCTAGTTGTTTTACAGACCCGCCTGTATAATATCTTAACCCCACCACGTCCACACTGTCATGTTTCATCGTATTGGTAAGCTCCCACTTCAGGTTGCTGGTTGCACATCCGGCAGACAGAACGTGCGTAATTGCACGTCGCAGCGCCATGGTGCGGACCACACAAGCGGCACGGCTCCGCATGCTCACACTGAGCCTACTGTTCGTGCACAGGTACACGTGATGAGCTCGCCATCATACCCTTGTACTGCGGCCTTGTAACCACCAGCAGCTGGCAGGTTAACAACGTCGTCACGGGCTCCTCACTCTGTGAGCCTCTGCCGGGTCCTTCCACCACTGACGCGTCTGTTGCCGATGTCTCACGCTCACACGCAAGTCTGGAATCCTCGTCGCCTCTGAAGAATCTGGAGTAGTCTGTAGTAGTGTGAGAAGAATCTGGAGTAGTGTGTTTTAACTTTTAATGAACACAAATACCACAAACATAATTTACTTCTGTCACCACGTATCACAACAATGTAATATCGCAACATAAAACACAGTACACAACACGAAAACAATGCAAAATATCTACATACATTTTACCACTGCCTCCTCAGATATGCCTGGCAAACTATATACATATTCATAGTCAAGAATTTAAACCCCGTATACATTCCTACCAGCTAACAGTATATACTTATAGTTGTCAATTATCCAAATAACAAACGTAAGCCTGTTTCCTGATTATAAATTATTTTCCTACCGACCACGACGCTCCTCCCTTATCAGATTACTTTAATTCTAATCTTTAATCCTAGCAACTACCCAAAACTGTTGCCTCAAAATATTCGTTCAATTAACTGTAACTTTTAAAACCTACAAAGTCTTTTGCATCGTCTTTCATTTGAATGTGATTTAGTAATCCTAACGGAGTGCTACCTATCCTGTTCCAGTAAAGCCACCATACGGCAATTAAAAAATTACACCACTTTCAAAACCACATTAAAAAACACATTAACCAAAGCGAGGGTGTGGTGGTATATAAAAAAGCGCGGAATTGTCAGCTACATGTGAGGAACCGTAGGTCAGGTTCCTCACATGTAGCTGACAATTCCGCGCTTTTTTATCAATCTGTTTCTGGACTTATTTTCAAAAGTAAATATGAAGTGGCTATACTTTGAATCTACCACTCTCCATCTATTGATAATATTCCAAAGGTTTTCATCGGCTCTTAATATTCTAATTCCATCTCTCTCACATTTTAAAACCCAAATTCTAGACATAAAACCTACTACCTTAGATATGCGCTCCCACGAATATCTTAATTGCCTTGCTTTTCACAGCTATTTCATATACACCATTCCAACTAGAGGATAAAACTGTTTGGATCATCTCATGTTAAGAACAAACTTGCTTTCATATTCCTTCATCTATGACTCCGTGGTCACAGACCACTATCCTTCACTACTCTGCTTGAACAATAAATGTATACGAAATACCTCAATTCCCATCGTCCCCAGTGGTGACTATAAGAAACTCGATGAAACAATGTCTCAACTAGGATTTGACCCAATTTTCTTAAAAACTGACTTCAATTTTCTTAGAAACTTAGTTCGTATAGTTATTATAGTTCTTAGTTCGTATATTGCTTAATAATCTACTTGTGTTTTTGTATTTTTTTAAACTTTGTCTGCTGTTAATTATACCACTCTTAAGTAGTAGTAAAATACAAATGTACCAACTCAAATAGTAATATTACATAATTTATTGTTATTCCTTGGGGAAATGGAACTGACGCTTCTTCACACAGGCTATAAAGTAACCTAGTTAGGAGATCAGAACCGCACCCACTATAATTGTAGCATATAAGTAATTTTACCATGTATAAACTGCAATATTTTTAAAATTGACAAAAAAACTTTATTTTTATATTACGACACACTAACACTCGTAGATGTGATTTGTGGAATGATAAATTAGCTGAACTACGTAGAAATTACCAGAAAGCTCGTAGGAAAATAAATGCTATTAAAAAACATAACGTACAGAGCTGCTGTGGAAAAATCCAAAAGAAACTTAATTCAGAAACTTGTTGATAATTTCGATAGAGAGGGCCCGTGGTCACCTTTGAAACTTTAGAATTTAAGGCAAATAGATTAATCGACCATGCATACATTTAGAATATCAAAATTAATAACAGATATAACAGAGGAGTAGGACAAACATCAGAATTTTTTTAGAATCTTTGTATCTGTTGATCAACTGGAAAATGACACTGATCATCACCGACAGATCAAGCAGTGGACTATCGAACCATCACTGTCTCCAATGTCTGACTTACTATCTTTAGACGAAGTTCTCAGTATCGTTAAAAACTTGCCGCGAAACATGGCTTCGGGCGATGATAAAATATCAAACAAGATGATAAAAGAATTTTTTAAACTTTACTTTTCCGGAAGGAATATTTAATCGTATTTGGCGGTGCAGTAACATTCGTATAATTCCAAAACGTGGTGACAAGCCGCCGTTAGCATTGTTAGGAAAGCTTTTAGAACGTCTTGTAGTGCCCCGGCTTCTGCCGGGTACAGTTAAAATTCACGATTGACAATTTGGATTTACGTAGGGGAAATCGACAATTGATGCGGTTATATCGGTTAGGAAGTTTGTCACAGAGTCAAAATTTCAATACGTGTTGGCTATTTTCTTAGATATATCTGTCGCTTCTACAACGCATGGTGGCCCATGCTGTTGCTAAAATAAAATCACGAGGGTGCTTTAAAAATATTTATTTCCTTATCTCCTCGTACTTTACACAAGGTACAACTAAACTAAGACTTGGCATCATTCTGGGTCGACGTCGCTTAAAATGGGATGTTCCCAGGCATCAGTGCTTGGTCCATACCTATGGCATATCAGCTTAGACAATTTTCTTGCGATACAAATACCATCCGGATGTACTCTGAACGCGTATTCTGATAACGGTTTATTACTGGTGGAATCTCCTTTCTAAGGAGAGGCCTATGTCCAGCAGTGGACTATTAAAGGCTGTTGATGATGATGATGATGATGACTGGTGGAATCTGATACTATGGCGGGGCTGGAGAGATTAGCGAATAGATGTTTGAACTTGATATCTCATTGGGGTGAACGTAATCGCTTAACTTTTGCACACAACAAAACCTTCCAGCTCCTTTTAAAAGGTAACCTCAAACCACCGCCGAGCATTAAATTTGACAATTTCACTGTAAAAAATAAAACCTCAGTGTGTTATTTAGGATCAGTTTTAGAAAGAAACTTTTCATTTATAGAACATATTAAAATAGTTTATGAAAAATCTTAAAAGAGTTTCTGTGTATTGACAAGGATATCAACTGCGACATAGGGTCTATCATTTAATACACTAAAGATCATATTATACGGATCTACTTAGCTAGGTTCTATGTGCTATGGTGCACCTGTTTGGGCCGATAAGGCAACTGTAGGCGCTGTCTGCTGCAAACTGTTACAGGGCCAACGACTTGCACTGATATTTTTGTGCAAGGCATGAAGGACGGTTAGCACTGAGGCTTTACCGGTGTTAGCGGGTGTGCTTCCGGTCGATCTCGAAGTGGAGAGACGTGCAGCCATGTACTATTGAAGACAACAAAACATGGAATGCAATTTTTTCTTGCGCACGAGAACGCGATAAAATTACAAGATTGCTTCAACAGCAGTCCGATGTCTATAATGACCTCATAAACGAATGGCTACAACGCTAGGACGAATCATCTAAGGCGGCAATCATTACCAGTTCTTTCTATCTGTTCGCGAACGGTTGTCGAGGACATGGATTTGGATCACTGTGTTCGCTCAATTTCTTACATTACTTTATTTAAATTAGTCCAGTCACCATTGTGTCAATGCTCAACACCTAACTCTAACTGTGAACAGTCTGCTCATCATAAACTCTGGGAATGTGGTCTTTGGTAGAATGAACGTAATATAATGCTGAATAGCTTGCAGGTGGCATCTGGGGCGGTATACTTTGGGGATCTTGTGTCAACTAGGGTGAATTTCTTCCCTGAAAACTTCTTTGAAAATCTGACAACAATAATTTACTGATGGATGGGTAAGGAAAGAAACTGATTCTATTTCGATTGAATACACCTAAATGATCCTGCCATTGTCGTAGTGCTCCCAAGTTCCAACGTTACTGCAAGTATTTTTAAGTACCAACCGCTTATCACTATGGACGCTAAATACTTACTTGTTTACTTGGTAGGATTCCTATTTTCCTAAGAGACGCTAATCTTGTAGGCAAATATTGATCCTACCCAGTAACAATAAGGTATTCCAATAATAAAACTATATTTAATTCATAATGTTTACTATTTTCAATGTAAAAGGCACATAGATCATTTGTTCAATGTCACAATTTTTATTTTTATAATTTATACATAATGTTATAACAATTGGGAATCAGAGAACTTAACTATTGTCAGGCTTATTCACCTTGCTGTATATTTTTTTATATTTCAATAAGTAAATCATTGTAATATTTTTTTTCTTTTATTAAAACTCGTTAACATTTTCACGCACACATTTTTTTGCTTCTTTATATTCCTCACATATATCTTTTACATCCCATCGCCACTTCGGGTGTGTACCATCGCCAGTTCGCTTTACACGCTTCTGTATCAACTCTTGGGACACAGTCCTCAAGTCATACGCCCAACCAATTTTTGCCATAATATCAATAAATAATCGTGACGTATTAAAAGCATAACCACCTAACTCGGCAGTTCTGTAATCCCAAGGGAATGTATGATGATAATTATGAAATCCTTCTCCACATGCAACTAAAGATACAGATTTTGTTTCTACGGGTCGAATATCTTTATCATATGGCTTCGTGCCCCACATATGGGCAACAGAGTTTATTGAAAAAACTGCATGTAGCGATATAGTCAAACGCAATACTACAGCAATATAAAATGCTGTCCACTTTTCTTCATTCCACAGAAGCGGGATGAAAGTTGGTGCCATATAACTTAGCAACAACACGTATAAATAGTAGTATCTGAAAAAAAACGAGCCAAACATTTTTTTTTTAAGGATTTGAGAAGAAAATCTATAATTTTAAGTACATAACTCGGTATAAGGTCTCTTATACTTTAGTACCTTTATCACATTAGTGAACTATTTAGTAAATAAAATTTATATAGCTAAAATATTAAAAGTTACATTAAGATAGGTAAAAATAAAAAAAAAAATGAATTTTGATATCATGAGACCGTTGTACAACTAGCGCCACTTTCCGATTATTAATTGAAAAATAATCCCATTAATCAACACCGTAGGCGCTGTCAATATCACATTACCAAAAAATTGTGTTTAAATAAAAACTTGCTATAAGTTAAAGCAAATCTAACAAAGGGAACGGGCTAACTAACAATTCTGCTTTTAGAATTTGCCTGAAATAATGCAATTATTATTGTCACTTATGGTTTGACTTACTATGGAACAATCAGTTCAGTCAGAAAAACGTTTATGGTCACTGAAACTGTCCGAATTGCCACAGTAAGAAACCAAAAGTTAATGTACCAAATCCTATTGTCGCTGCAAGAACAACTAACACCCTCATCAGACAAGACTGAGTATGATGAGGTTGTTGAAATTATAAGAGGAGCACTGAGCTAGTCTTACTGACACCCGAGATTTAAGATATTTTGGAAGATTATGTGCTTCACACGTACCGAACTTAGTATCGACGATTTTCATGCTAAATTAATACATGGCTATACCGATGCCTGACGTTCGATTGAACGAGATTGAGTTGCCATTTAATCGGCTTAAAAATTAAAAATATCAAATGAAGACAGTAATACTTTAAAGTTATTAAGTATACCTGAACTCTGGGTCTTATTTAATGCCAACTTAATGTGCTTGAGAACTCCATAAGCATGGTGCGGATGGTGTAGTAGTCCTGTTTTTTTACAAGAAGATAAAACTCTTCTTAAGAACCAGAGCCCTATCTTGGTGTTGAGCTACATGAGTTCTTCCTAGCAGGCCGGCTATGCTCAGGATTTCGCACAATAGAGCACCCTATTCACAGTAGGGCAGGTGATTCGGATGACAAAAAAGTATAACGCGCTTGTGTGAACTATGAAGCAAAGCATGAAACTGAAATCTGGGCTGCTTTCAGCGCGCTAGTTTCAGCGCGCTAATCAGTACATTGACGTATTTCTATGAGTCTATGTGGGCGGGACTGTAGCTCAGTCGTTAGTGATCTGACTGCTAAACCACAGGTCATTGGTGTAATTGAGAACCCCACGGTAATATCTTGTATGGGAACTGTACCGTACTTGTCTCCTTACAATGAAGTTAAAAACTCTACGAACATTACGTATTCTTTTAACTTACTTTTGTTGGAAGCGTAACAACTTATCCGCCTTAATATCACTTAGTTCAATGTCGTGGCCTTTAGCTTTAACATCAGGATGTTTCTTCATGAGTAACCAACCGATATGTGAGAAGAAAAATCCTCGCTTTGAGTTGTGTGGGTCGGCATCAGTATCGCAATACTTATGATGAACACGATGGTCACGTACCCACTGGAATACTGAGCCCTGAAATATATCTCAAATCATAAATTAATAGCGATCCGCCCCGGCTTCGCTTCGTGTGCAATGTAGATACTACTAATACTACTAATGTGGTGTAAGATGTATTAAATAATTTATTATGATAGGACTACACTACAGGAAATCTTTAAATGCAATATTTATGGGCCCGCTCTGATCCTGACGGCCGCTGCCACCCGGGACGGACGTACGTATCGGCAGCCGTTCGGCCCCCGCATTGTAATACTCTAAAATCTACTAAAATATTAATTTTAATGATATGCTGTAAAAAGCAATTTTAATTTAAATTAAATGCACAATGTATCTAACGTATTCAATTGGATAAGGAATAATAACGATTGTTTAAAATAGCTTCGTAAAAAAACCCATTATATTTTTGTAATATTTAAAAGTTAAAAATGGTTACTGTGCTGTGTGTGTGTCCTTAGCAAATAGACATATACCATCTGGATTTTTTTGTAGATCTTTTTAAGATTTACAATTCTGTAATAAATTATTGTTTTATCTCGTAAGGTGTACCCAGCGTTTGCAATGTAAGCGAACAAAAACCTGTTTTTACGTCAAATCTTTAAAATTCTCGGCTTTTCTCGGCTCGGCTTATATGCATGTATAATACGTATACATATTTACCTTTCTATTGTAATCACTCTGTCTAATACAATCCGTTGCTTAGTTAAAAATATCAAAAAGCGACTTTATTTTATATTATGGAAAGAAGACAAGAAAATACAAATTTCTCGATGTTGTTTATACTCGTATTAATAACTAGCGGCCCACTCCGGCTTTGCAAGGATAGTAGAGTAGGTATAATTATATTAGGTTTACATGTCCTTTTTCCTAGGGTCGCGACAGCTTTTTTGTAGAATTTATGGATTAGGTATAAACATAACATAATGTCTAGACTACTTGAAGTATTAAATCATTGAAAGCTTTCATGCAGCTTGACTTTTTTCGACATTTTCAATAATTATCGTCGCGTTTCAAACAAATTGTACCAAACTTGAACAAATTATACACCTAAACCTAAATCAATTTTTTTAACTGACACACAGCGCTATCTATGTTCAAACTAAACAGAGCTTGTAATATGAAAGCTTGATTGACTATACTTATATCCTTCTTTTTAAATACGTACATATTATACATATAAAACACCAAAACTCCGAAACAAATATTTGCAGATCATACAAACATTTGGTCCGACCCGGGAATCCCAAGACCTGCACAGCAGTCGCATACGCTACCACTGCATTACCGAAGTAGTCCAGAGAACCGACAGACAGATAGACGCGGCGATTTCTATCGATAAACATAACTTTATAAAATAATCTTAAATACGTCCACTGATCCAATTCTTTAAACTCTTTAAAAATAACTACTTCAGCATTCAACAGTGTACACTTTGACCTACAAAAGTTTTACTAAGATTTTTTAATATATCCTGTGTCCCAGCTGCGCTTTAGATGGTATGGACACGACAACACGGTATTATCGCAACCAATAGTTTTGTTACTTTTATCAAATCTTTGGTGCGAGTAACAGAAGTAAATAAATAGTTTAAGCGCCGGAAGCGGAGCCATCTGTAGTGGAGTGTACTCCACCACTCGCGATGGGAAACGCGAGAACCCCCTCTAGTATTTCTTACTGAAGACGCCGGGTCAGTGGCGGGAACGATGGGTGCATCTGGCCTCAACCATACGGTAGAGGCGACCGAGTCTACGGATCGCGCTCTAGTTTCTCCAGCAACTCGTGGCGGGCCCACCTTGCGCCCCTCGATTTTTCTTATGAACTTGATCTGTTATTATAATATGCTTAAATACTATTTCAAGTTATGTCAAAACATGTTTCAATAATATCTTACTTGAAAAGCCATGGTGAAAAAAAATAACAGTATAATCTTCAGAGGAAGCCTCGCTTTGTATGATCTGTGTGACCAAAGTCTGTGAGCGCCGGCTGTTACACCCACGGTCGACATTACGTACAAAACATAAGCTGAAATAAATTGATACAAGATTTTTTTTATTACGCCAATTACTTAACTAATTTGTATTGTTATACTAATAAAAGAAAATCCTTGATAATAAGAGACGTTTACAAAAATAACAATGACGAGAATGTGAATTACAAATGATTCTTTTACGATTTTATTAGTTTTGGATTCAGTCCTTCAATAGTTCTTTTAACTTATTTTAAAATGCACACACATGCTCATAAATACTTCAAATGTCATTGATAGACTCTATATAATCCAAAATTAAAAAGAAGTACCATATATGTTGGCCGGGATGTATTTATATTACGCCTAAAATTAATGGGATGTTTCTGATTTTAGACCATAAACATTCAAAACGTAGGTAAAACAGAATAATAAATGAACGAACATGGACTGAGCTGAGTAACTTGTCCAATATGATTTCTCGAACTAAAATGAGTTTAGTCTAGTTAAGACAAAATAAATCTATCAAATGCCTAAAATAAGTTGTTTTGATAAACTCTAAGTTTGTTACAGGATTTATTGATTCATTCATACAAAAAATCAAAATTTTCTAACTACTGCGTAAGGTGGATGACTTCTGTAGCTGGACGGAGGGAATAAGGACAAAATCTAGCAAATACTATTGCCTTTGTCTAGGCCGTCGAGGTTTCAGATATACCTCATATGACCCAGGGATTACTATTGGTGGGGAAAGTGTTTCAATAATATCAGAAACCGTGCCCTTTTAATTCCTTGGTAAAAAGATAGACTACAATGTGTGTCGATGACTTCGTAAAAGACACTGACAAGGTAGACCCAACAGCCAATAAGTAACGCAAAAAAAGCTTGGGTTTACGACAACAGTTAATATCACGTCTCAACTGTTCGTTTCTGTTATACAATATAAACCAGAACCACTTAATAAAACTGGACGCGAAAGTCACTAAGACAATGAAGTCGTGGCTCGGGCTAACAACATCTGCACACCTGTCAACGTTGTACAGAGGCTGAAATTTGAATGAAATTCAATGAAGGAATGAAATTAAAAATACCTTCGGAACTCTACAAACACCTAAAAGTTACCAAAATGCATGTCTTGTCAAAATCACTAGACGAAATCGTTAGATTCCTTCCAAAGTCACGGCTCCGATTCCATAAGAAATTCATGGTGGGTACGCAGTCTAGTAGATTTGGATTGGGAAATGCTAGAAGACAGACCGACAAACAGAAAACAAAACCTTTCCTACAACAAGATGAAAACGAGACCTATAAAGTGTATGCAATGAACCTCTAGCAGAATGAATGGTGAACTTTAGGAGAATTTTGTATCCCACTAGCTTTGAAATAGCGCACGCTTTTATACGATTGGTGACTCTCGCCGATCAAAGCAACCCAGTAAGGTGGGGAAAAGCTACAGAAAAGGCTTGTACGATATACGATATGACGGTACGTACAGTACGATACAGCCAGGCACTTACTGACAGGTTGTAAGGCGCTATTAGACCGGCGTCATTATTCACATCGCCATGATAGGGTATTACAAATCATGCGCGAAGCCATAAGTTTATCGCTGCGAGAGCGAAAAAAGAAAAGGAATAATAACAAACATAAGAACTAACATCGCATTTGTAAAGGAAGGCTTAACAAAAAAGACTTCACAAAAGCCGTACTCAATTATAAATACCGAAAGTGACTGGACATTATTAGTGGACACGTATGGAAATCATTTGAGAATACCGGAGGATATCTGTGCCTCGGCCTTTAGACCAGACATTTTTCTTTATGCAATTTCAATTTATCGTGTAGTACTAGTAGAACTCGCGGTGCCGTGGGACAGGAACATCCATCCATCCACGCTCTAAAAAGAAACAGGTACTTTGACTTAAACAACGAAATAACTAATAATGGTTATATCGTTGCGTTGTATGCCGTGGAAGTGGGTGCGAGGGGTATACCAGCTAATTCCCTCTATAATTTGCTTAAAGCCTTGGATTGCCAAGAGCTTCAGAAAGCTCTTTTCTTGAACGAATATCCAAAGCGGCATTGCTAGGCTAGTATCAAATATGGTGAGGTAGAGGGGGTAACACAGCAGACAGTGTGTAGCTGACGCCTCGCAAGGAGTACTCCCTAAACCTATACCTGGGTCTCAAGCCCCAGGCGCTGTCGAAGTCGCGCGATGGACCTGGTGGGTACCAGGTCCATCGCGCGACTTCGACAGCGCGGTGAATCCATGGAACGCTAAGAAATAGGTCTTCATTACCTTAAGATTGTATTTTACACCGGCTTTATTTAATTAAGTCATTAGATTGTGACAAATATACTGTTGTTGAAGAGTAGTAATTAATATTAGGTCCTCACATATGAAATTGGCGTATTGTACGGGTGGAATATCAAGTCAATTTTTTTTTTGTAAAATATATTAAATTAATCAAAGTATGCACCGTTGTTATCTATACACTTTTGCCATCTCATAGGTAGTTAATTGATCCAACACACTAAAAAACCACTGGGGCGAGAATCAATAAACTCTTTGTAGGCGGTTTGGACTCCCGCATCGGAGTTGAATGTTTTTCCTTGTAAGAAGTTGTCCAAATTCCGGAAAAAAAGGTAATCTCTTGGAGCAAGGCCCGGGGAGTACGGTGGATGTCGCAGACATTCAAATTGTAGCTCATTTAACTTAGTGGTTATTTGCTGTGCAGTGTGTGGTCTTGCGTTATCGTGAAGCAGCAGTGGCCTAGAGCGATTGACCAATCTCGGCTGTTTGGCAGCTAGTTCGTTCGTAGTGGTTTGCTGTTGCTGACAATAGATATCTGCTGTAATCGTTTGGCCAGATTTTAGTAAGCTGTAGAGAACGACACCAGCATTAGTCCACCAAACACTCACAAGTAACTTTTTCTGAGTCAATTTTCGTTTAGGGCAGGATTTGGATGGGTCTCCAGGGTTCAGACATTGCGTCGAGCACTTCCGATTATCGTACAGTATCCACTTTTCATCACAAGTGATGATTCCATTTAAAATCCCTTCATTATTGTGTCGGTTGAGCAAAGTAACACAGCAGTCGACGCGTGATTGCAAGTTCGATTCACTCAATTCATGAGGTACCCATCGTTCAAGTTTTTTTACTTTCCCGATTTGCTTCAAGTGGATTAATACAGTTTTATCACTTACCCCGAAGCCTGCAGCTATCTCTCTATCGCTTTGTGATGGATCTGCTTCCACAATAGACTTTAATTCTTCATTTTCCACTTTGGTCTCCGGCTGTCCACGAGTTTGGTTCTGAAGGTCGAAATTTCCAGAACGAAAACGTTGAAACCAAAAACGTACCGTGCTTTCTCGTGCGACACCAGCGCCGTACACATCATTAATCCTTCGAGCTGTTTCTGCAGCACTGGTGCCACGGTAGAACTCGTACTCGTAAATATACCGATATTTCATGTTTTCCATTGTGCGGTAACAAACGACGCCAATGAAAAAGATAATGAGGAAAAAAGAAATGAATGACTGCTTTCATAACTCAAATTTATAAATTTGAATTTGGAATTCTTAACCAAAGAGGCGATATTTCAGATCAAAGTGGTCGCCGGTGGTGGTTCCAAATTCAAATTTATAAATTTGAATTTGGAATTCTTAACCAAAGAGGCGATATTTCAGATCAAAGTGGTCAGTACGACAAAACCTTTTTTTTTTTTTTTTTAACGTGTGGAAATCCCCTAGGACCGTCACCCCTCCGGGGTTTGCGGCGGGGTGGTGTGTCGGACTCGGACCGACTAAAACCACACGGTGTGCCACACTGCGCCTGTAACAGGAGGGATCCGGGAACAACTGTTGTTAAGACATCCGGACCCCTCCTAGCGCCAGCCCGCTCCTGGTGCGGGCTCCGTCTCAATATTTTTTCCTCTCTTTAGGCGACGACCGGCACACGCGGACGCCGCCCCCTCGCGGCTGGCCAAACTAATGCGGGTGGAGGGGAAACCCACCCCGTCCACCCGCGGTCACACTCAGGGCGGCATGAGGCTGTGATAGGCGGGCCTCCGCCGCCCGGTTCACCGGCGGCGGATCGGGTCCGAGTGGAGGTCGTCCTCCCGGGCCCTCTCCGCCGCCTCCTTCCGCAAGATTACTACCTCGCAGAAGGATGCGACCTCGAATGCGGGGCATGGCCGCATCGCAGATATGCGTAATCGCATCGCGAAAGCGACCAGCCCCCACGTCGACCTCCTCGGACGGAGCCTGAGGAGACAGCCACGAGTGAATTATGGCTGCCTCCTCTAGTAGGTCCCGGTTCAGTCTGGCAACAGCCCACCGCGGAAAGCGGGATAAACGCCGCGCCACGTGACCCCTACTGGAGTCCTGGGTCCGGGAGAGCTCAAATCGGATATACAGATGATCCGAGAGCGTCTCAACCTCTTCCAGGAACTGGCGTGTCCTGGAAGATCGCTACCCCTGCCCTCGCCGCACGAGTAAGGACTCGTGCGGCGAGGGCAGGGGTAGCGAACGAAAGGTCCACTATCGACCCCCCCCTGCTGTCGCACGCACGTGTTGGTGGAGCCTCTGTTGAGAAGACAGAGGCCCACCGAGGCCGCCCACTCCTCTACGGCCGACTCCGTCCTGGGGGAACCCCACGCAATGGACTTTGCGTTGAAGTCCCCCAGCACAAGGACGTGCCCAGACGCTAGTCGCCGTATCGAGGTCTCCAAGCTGGTTAGGAAAACCTCGAAGTCGTTCAAACTCCGGTTGGGGGAGAAATAAACACCATATATGGTGATCCCCCCCCCCCCTCGACGGCAACATATCCAGTGCCCTTGCCTCTTAGCGACAAGGGCGGGGAATTAGCCGTCGTGGAACCGACGACTGCCACGGAGCCGTCCCAGTCACCCATCCACTTTGGACGGGGAGGGACAGAATAGGGCTCCGCGACTACGGCAACACCTATCGACCACTGTGCCATGGTTTGCAGGAAGAGATCCTGCGCCGCGGCACAGTGGTTCAGGTTCGTCTGGACCAGGAGGCTGGAGACCCGATCCATTACTGGATCGTCTCTACAGCCTCCTCCATGGGCGACGACGTCGACGCACGAACTACATCGGAGGCAGCCTGGGTCGACTGGCTAGCCCCCGATGCTTGCTGAGAGTTGCGGGGAGGCTTGCAGCCCCCCTGCCTCTGGTGATTGGCGGGCTTGTTACCCGCCGCACACACCGGGCAGTGAGGGGCGGCAGAGCATTCCAAGCCACATGCCCCGGTCAACCACAGCGGAAACATAGTCCGCTGCAGTCGAAGCAGCTTTGGCACTTGACGCGCGTGTGCCCCGATGCTAGGCATTTGTAACACCTCATCGGTCTCGCCGCCAGGACTGTGATCCTAGCGCTCACGAAACCCATGAGCAGCCTGCCGGCGTCGGCCAATACTTTGGCCGACGCTACGGGACAGCTGACCCACACGGCGCCAAGCCCCCCTGGACCGGGGCGGATGGTGCCGACCCTGACGTTGTCCGCGCTGCACCCCGTCTTCTCCCGGATTACAGCGCGGACATCTTCGGCCGTCACAGAGTCGTCCAGGCCCGAGATGCGCAGCTCCGCGCACTTGGTAGGCCTGGCGATCTTGACACCATCTGTGGTCGCGAATAAACCCCGCAGCCTCTCAGCGAAAGTGTCCGCCGTCTTGGCGCCTTCAGCCCCTGGGAACTCGAGAACTCGAGCTCCCGTTTGGGCGAGGCGCATCTTGACCCCCACCGTCAAAATCGTTGGCGAGGCTGTCCCGGGCCGTTTTTAAAAACGGCCGCGTAGGACAGCCCGCCGTCAGCCGCCTCCGGGGACACGGTCACCTCTACAGCCGCGGTTTTGGGCGGCTGCAGCTTCCGCGGCCTCTTTGCAGAGGCCGTTGCCACCGGTGGCGAAGGCTGGGCTTGGGCTGCTTTTTGGGCAGCCCTTCTGGCCCGCCTTCGGGACTTCTTGGAGCCCCTCGACTCCTGCCAACCCTCGTTGGAGGGGGCAGGTGCGGAGGGGCCCGGCAGTACGACAAAACCTAACCTAACCTAATATAAATATTAGTTATATCGATGCAACATTTCTTTGTAAACCCATAATACCAAGGTACTCGTAATTATCATCTCATCTGTATTCCCAAAATAGTTTGTTTTTCGTGGGCTGACTATCAAACATCATCATGATCGTCATCATCTTTCTGCCTATTTCCCAAAATTATTTGGGGTTGGTGCAATGAGTTGTATTCTTTACTTGCGAAATGGTTTTACCTTTACTTTTTATGGCCGCATCAAACGGTTCAAGAAATTTTATTTAAATCTTAATTAACAATCAAAAGATTGCACGTACAGCATCATTTTTCTACATCACCCGAAGGTCGACTGGCAGAGAATGCCTTGGGCATTAAGTCCGCCTGTGTACAACTTGTGCATTAAGTTAAATAAATAAAAAATTGAGAAAGGTGTTTGTAAGAGTAGGATTTTTGTAGGATAGAAACTAAAAACAAATATTAGTGCTTACCGAAAACAATAGTCTGCCATTTAGCCTGTGTGATTACCAAATAGATTCCATAAGCCGAGCCTATGTGCATCAATAAGAAAGTTATTACATTGAACCATACCGGTTGCCACGGTCTCGAACGCATTGTGTTTTTAGTACTGTTTTTCATCCCTGTATTCACTGTATCGTTATTGATTACATCATGCATTTTGATGAATTTATTTTTAATGTAGTGCTGAAATTATAATACAATATTGTTATAGAAATATTTTTTTATTAAGTATTATTCAGAATTTTCAACAAAATTATTTAATTTTGTGATTGTAGGTTCCTCAACCTGAAAAATAATTAGTCATTATTAAAAATGACATAAAGTAAAAACTTCACTACGGTAGATTATTGTATGTATAGTGAATGACTTAAATAACTAGGCCTAGATTATTCTTGGAGCCGCTTGAGGAAGTTCGCCGCCTCTACTGTACGGTAATACGATCCATGTTTCAAATCTGTTGAAAAATTTATCTTTTTTTTTTGCTTGTGCACTAATAATACACCTACACCTAATATTACACACTGCACGTTTATATACATGTCTTTTCTTCACAGTCACACTAACATCCTTACACTACACCTCCTGCTCATTTTACCCACGAACAATGTGCATTAATATTTGAATTTGTATTGAATATTTTAATGTAACGTGATTAGTATTAACTCGCCTCTTAATTATTATTTGGTATCACGTAAAATAGGCAATTGTTCTACAATGATTTAGGGCGCTGGCACTTATGATACAATGTTTAAATACAATCACATTTTAATGTGCCACATTTAATTATTATTATGGAAACTGTAGTATAATGTGATAATGTTGTTAACCCTTATTTGTGTATTAAATATTATTATTATTATTATGAACCTATATAAAGCGCTGATATAGGCCAAACACCTATCGCCTCCTCCTGCTGTCGAGCTCAATCAAACGCAACGTGTAGCTGCCATTCGGATCTTATGAGGTTACCGCACCATCAAGTCAGAGGCGACGAGAATCCTGCCATTCTTCCAGCCTTTTGATATCCTGGCGGATATAGACGCAAGGGTCTATGACTAGATTCGTGCGATCCGTCAGAGTGAGAGCGAGGAGATTCAGAACGGGCTCGAAATGCGCCGGAACGCAACAGTTTTTAAAAGTCAGTCTTTAAAAGTGTATTTCCAGACACCAACGTGCTGTCAGTGAGTCAGCAGGGAAGAAGAAGCGTCACCTACTGACTGACGCAGACACTCAATGGGCATGGTATGAATAGGATCGAACGCGAGGATTTCTGTTTTTTTTTAAAAACAACTCTCACATTAGGAATATATATCCTGTATTGCGGGGGACTTTACAAACATACATGAAACGTACACAAAGAACACCCAGACTCGGAACAACAATTTGTGGATCAGTGGTCTCGGCAGTGCGCAGCCGACTGGAACTCCGCCCAGCATACGCTGGAAGACTGCCCCTCGTGGGCGTCTGAGCGGGACATCCTGGTCGATCAAATCCAACGAGAACTGTCCCCGCCAGCAATCATTAATGCCATGCTGGCGAGTGAATAGAGCTGGAGCGCAGTGGTTTCTTTCTGTAAAGCTGTACCTAATGCTCCAGAAAGAGATTGCTTATTAGGATCAGGAGAGGGTAGGTTCCGAGCGAAGAAGACGTCAGCGGCGGTATGAGCTACCGACGGGACCGCGGGCCGTCAGAAAGTGAGGACCCCTGGTGACAAACTAATTACTTAATTATTGCGGTACGGCACACGATGACGGCCTAATAGCACCAAGAATTTAATCATAGGCTGATAGGCAGTAATTAAATGGGGCGCCGAAACCAAGCCCTCGGGGTGTTTTTTTAGTGGAAAAAGTACATACTCCTGGCTTCCGTGTCCCCAAGGAGTCGTAGATCCGAAGGAACACCACATCACCAAAAAAAGAGGCCTAGAATATTCTTACCTTAAAATTTACTTTAATAAGTATTCTGATGATTTCTATAACATGGGCAATTTTTAGTTTAAAATTTTTGAATAAAATAACATAATGAAGACAATCGATGTGTCACCTCTTACAGCTAATATTTATCAAGCGCATTTAACCACTTTTATATACCAACATTGTAAAAAGTTTTAATTACCAATAAAATTAACCGTCTTTACCGAAAGAGTTAAAATTTTAACGTTCTTATTTATGTTCCAAATTGTTCGAATAAGTATTATTTTAAAACATGTTACAGACTGTTAATAATTTGATCGAAACTAAATAATACTGCAATAGAACTTTTTTGAAAAGACCCATATACTGTTTGTTTAAATCAGATGGAACTCGAATGCTTATTGGGTGATCCCATTATAACGTGGTATTGACGTGCAACCTATCGGGGCTGTATCTACTAGAAGTAACAAATACGGTTTATGTTGCAAGATGCATTTATTTAGCACTACGATACGCATTTTTCAACAGTCAACTTTTCATGAATACGTAATATTGTATTTGAAGGCAAACACCGGTCGTAAAAGTATATTAAGATAACGACAGCTAGGCAGTAATTGGCAGTTTTGTTTTTAGAGTGTTTTTAGAGTATACATTTTATCGTCTAGTTCCGTTTGTTTATATGTGTGCTACATATATAATATACTATAGTTAGTAACCCAACTGGGTTTTTTAGTAATCACTAGTTTAAACTGATATCATACACTTTTGGTATTTTCACTTAGGTATAATCGATCTGATATTTCTGAATCTCTGAGAAATCTTTGACTGTTTACTGACTATTTAGTTAAGTACTTTGCTTATTAGTTATTGGTTCAATACTGAAATCATCAAGAGAGAAAGGTTTATTGAAGGCCATAGTGTAAATCGCAAAAAGTTGAGGATCCTTATTTCCATGTCGATCTGACACGGCAAAAACAAAAAACGGCATGAGGGGTCTACGGACCCACGGTAGGAACGAAGTTCCTTTCGCTTTCGCTCAGTCTGCTTTTAATTTAAAGTGTCGGAAAAAGTCTTGTTACATATTTTTCGGTCTTGCTTCCATCTGCTCAGAGCGTGTAACGCGCGATAAAGAACTTCGTGCCACTAAAAATTTTGATGTTTCTTAAACAAGGAGGAGGAATTTCACTTATTGTTAATGTGATCTCTTCTAGTTGTGTAAAAAATATGGGCTGCAGGTGCAATTGTGACTGGTATTTAGACACACGGCTAGCAGTTATACATGTTAATAACTTTTAAAATACACGATTATGTCGATTATGTAAAAAAAAAAAAAGTGTACTCGAATAATTTTGCATAACATCAAGACATTGTTTAAACGAAATCGTAGTAGAAGTTAGTGTCAAAATAAATAAAAATCTACAATAAAGAGTACACTCGGATCAATTAATCTGAGTCAAATATCGACTTATCATTTCAGACATTAAAAATATTAGCATATTGTAAAAATAGTATTTATTACAATCTCCTTATCTGAAAAGAATAATATTTATATATCATTGTGTATTTATAAACAATACATTTTACAATTTTCTAAAATTTCGTAATGGACTTATATTTCAGTACTTTATGTTACCATTATTGCGATTATGGCAGGCTGTACATTAAGTTTCTGTTACGATGATGAAAAATATTCTCCATTTCTCAATTAGAACATCTGTATTTCTCAATTTTTCAAACCACGATAGCAATATTTGTATTTTTTTTTTTATTAACATAATAATTAAAATAGTATAGTAAATTTGTCAAAATATTGTCGATAGTTGCTTTGGAATCACATTCGTAGCCCAAATATTTTCAGAAAAAGTCACAAGCTCAGTCATGCAATGGCAGTTAGAGATATACAGTCAAAAACTACATAAACATTAAATGAGTAACGTACCTAACAATAATATATTTATTACATTTGGCGTTAAGGGCACATTCTCAATAATGATAGCGCTCCATAGTGCGTCAGGCCGCCAACCCGGCTTGCTTCTGCTAGGGTGGCAGATGGTTTTACCTCTCGCCTGTACGCAGCGGTTACTCGTCGAAAAGCCATCTCCCGTCGTGGATCAGACCCAGATACTTCATCTGGGCCCGAACCGGTACGAGGACCGAATTGACCACGATGACGGAGCCCATGGAATAAGAGGGCCTCCGTCTTATCCAGGGCCACCCGTAAGCCCAGCGCCTCAATGCGCCCGACCACCAGAGAGACTAACGTGGTGGCCAGGCGCGGCGCTTCTTAAAAGTTCGCCCTCCGGGCTGAGACTAGAGTGTCATCAGCGTAACAGATTAAGCCCAGCTCGGGGGAAAAGCGACATCGAAGGACCCAGTCCTACCCTATGTTCCACAGGAGTGGTCCGAGAACATATCCCTGCGGAACACCGCACGACACGCGCCAAAGACGCACACCACCATTTCGATCCTCGTACATACATCTCGTACGCTCCTCTAAATAGTCTGCTACTAGCTGCCTCAGGTACTCTGGCACCCCGTGGTATTGGAGTGCATTGGATTGCTATTTGCCTGCAAAATCAGATAATGAGATATTTCAGGAATAAAACTATGTTTAATTACCTTAACCATTTTTAATGTAGTCCAATAGACACATGAATTTCTTTTAAGCTGTTAAACACAAGAACAAATTATACAGATAGGCAATTTATCTATACAGGCTTATTTCCCTTACATAGCACACATTTGCTTTTATATTTTAATAATTACATTATTATTATTTTCATGTTAAACAAGTAGTAAACTTTTTCAACATTAAAATGTTCTATAACATGTAATTGAGATGTATGATGTATGTACTATATTCAAGATTCATTAAAATTTTATTGCACAATATTTATTTCTCATATATTATATCTTTGTCATCCCACTGCCACTGCGGGTGTGAACCATCGCCAGTTCTCTTAACACGCTTCTCAATCAACTCTTGGGACACAGTCTTCAAGTCATATGCCCAACCAATTTTTTGCCATTATATCTATGAATAATCGAGACGTATTCAAAGTATAGCCACCCAATTCAGCAGCTTTGTAATCCCAAGGAAATGTATGATGATAATTATGAAATCCTTCTCCACAAGCCAATAAAGATACAAATTTTGTTTCAACGGGCCGAATATCTTTATCATATGGTTTCGTCCCCCACATATGGGCAGCAGAATTGATAAAAAAAATTGCATGTTGCGAGATAGTCAAACGCAATACTGCAGCAATGTAAAACGCAGTCAGCTTTTCTTCATTCCACAAAATGGGGATAAAAGTTGGTGCCAAATAGCATACCAATAAAACTAATAAATAGTAGTATCTGAAACAAAATTATTAAAAGTTATTGAAGAGGTAATTAAGTAAGCCGGTAATTCCTGAATACTGGCAGTTATTTTAGTACCACCTTAAATTACGGGAGGACTCCAAAAGCTTGGAACTACCAATGAAATACTCCTATAAACTACCAGGTAAGTGCCTTTTGGGTTTGTGGACTAAGAGAAAGCATGTCACTCAGTTGAAATCTGGGTTGTTTTGTTGTCTTTGCAGCGTTTTCAAGTGGAGTATTTCAAGGTGTCCATAACGCCGCGACTGCCTAAGACTTTTAGGTCTGGCTTGTTTGTCCAGTTTCGTTTGCATATTCCGTTTTCAAATATGACATTACGTGTATAAAACATACTATTTTTAAACAAAATAAAGGCCAAAATAGTTTAGTTTCATTGTTTCTTCGTTTAAATGTGCTGAACTCTGGAATTATTAGTCGGATGCTATCAGTTTTTTTATATGGAATACAGTTATAATTGACGTAAATAATTCTAAATTGTTTATGGATAATTGATTGTGTATATAAATATTAAATATTCTATCATTTACTTTAATTATTTTAACATTATCATCATCAACATCAACCCTTAGGAGTGGAATAGTGTCCATAAACGTGAGTTAAAGCTGTAATTGAGTGTGAATCATAGTTCCGAACTTCATGACCACGAGTCAAAATTAATAAAAAAAAAAAAATGCAATAAGGGGGCAAACGAGCAGATGGGTCACCTGATGGTAAGCAACTATCGCCGGCCATGGACACCTGCAACTCAAAAGTCACAAGTGCGTTTTATGTATTACCTACTATTATGTAAAACTACAACTCAAGCCCTAGTAATATATTTTATGTCTCAGGTGACTTCACAAACATCACACGGGCACACGAAAACCCAGATTCAGAACAACAATTAGTGAATAGAACGAAGGGTCATTTAGTCATGTCCAATAATCATAATATTTCCACTATGAACAGTAGCAACCCTCCCCCTACATTACCAGATGATCGAAACTGCAATCATCGCAGTAAATAACTTTCGCGATAATATATACCGCAAAGGTAAACTTTCGCAGTAATATACATCCCAGTAAAGAACTTTCGGAACAAAGAACATCGCGATAGTAAACTTTCGCAGTAATGTACATCGCAACAGTAAACTTTCATTGTAACCTACACTGCAGTAAAGAACTTTCGTAATGACGAACATCGCGATGCTAAAATTTCGCAGTAATCTACATCGCCCGCAACTATGATTGACACTCGCTGTAATTACCGTGATAGTTTATGTCGAAATGTTAAACAGGTTTCAGGTATTAGTTAAGTACATGTATTTAGTCAAAACCACTGCTGTAATTTATTATAATCATATAAATTTAATAATAGTAAACCATTGTCACCTATTTTAAGCTAAAATTATTGTATTAATCTTTACGATATATGCCGATAATACATGCCGATATGTATGTGTATTTCATAAAAAACACGAAATCTAATAACGAAGTTAAAAGTTCTACGAACATAATGTATTATTTTTACTTACTTTTGTTGAAAGCGTAATAACTTATCCGCCTTAATATCGCTTAGTTCAATGTCGTGGCCTTTAGTCTTAACATCAGGATGTTTTCTTCATGAGCAACCAACCGATATGTGAGAAGAAAAATCCTCGCGTGGAGTTGTGTGGGTCGGCATCAGTATCGCAATACTTATGATGAACACGATGGTCACGTACCCACTGGAATACTGAGCCCTAAAATGTTTCTCGAATTGATAAGAAAACAATGAAGGTAAAATCATACTGTAAACGTTTATAAATCACATTATTTCTAATAACCCAATTCCGTAAACTCGTTTAAAAATGACTAGTTCAACAGACTTCAGACTAGTGTAAGTTTTAACCTAAAAAAAGTGTGTATGTGCAATTCACACACGGCAGAAGTGAAACTTCCGAAAAAAAAATCTCAGTAAAACCCTATAAAATTTTATCCAGCCCGGGCATCGAAGCCACTAAGGCAGCATTTCTCAAATTCCCCGTGAACGAAGTCGCGGGTACCAGCTAGTATTAAATAAAAATATTTACACTGTCAAAATATTATAATAAAAATAATGTGTAATGTACTCTATTTCATTCTCTAGCCGACTTAATCCTATCCTTTTTTGTGTTTGTTTCTTCATCGTGACGCATTTTCGTTTCATCGAGTTTCAAGTCACAACTATTCTAAAGAAGGTACATTTTGTGTGCATAGGTTCAACAACATCTCAAGCTGTGTCTCAGTGGCCAACAACACGGGATTCTTGCTTCCTAGTCTACATCCAATATTTTACTTTTATCAAATCTGAGGTGCAAGTAGTTGAAGTAAATACATATTTTAATATTAAATACACAGATTTTAGCAAGGATATTGACAAAATCTTTAAATAAAATATTGTTGTTCAGACTACCCGGATACTATTTCACATGGTAATTTTATAAGATGATGAAGGTATTTGATAAATAAAGTTTTTTTTTTTGTTTATGCATGGTTTGCAGTTTACAAATCCTGACATAGCGACAAAGAGGACGGATATCACTGGCTGGTTTTCATCAAATGTTTAGCTAATGGTGTTTCATTTCACTTTTGCCAGAAGCTAACGAAGAGAAGAGTGTAATTAGAAAAACTAATATAAGTTCATGACTGAACAATAAATGTTATTAACAATTATGGGAGAAGTAGAGAGGCACGTACAAAACTACATTTATTTGATGTTATAGTGGTTGTGCTACTAAAAAAAAGAGTGTGAAAGAGAAGTTTTGCTATGGCATATGAAAGAAGAAGAATTGGTAGTTTCTATGGTGTCTCCTGTAGGTTAATTATTGTGTTTTGATTTTTTGCGAATGATTTTAAGTTTCCTCGAAAGGTGTTATAAATCGCGGTGATGAATATAATATGAGAATTTCCATGCATCACGTAAAATGCCTGGTGTGACCAGGATTTCATATTTCCTTCACTACCGGGCAATACGTATTTCAAATTTCACTGTACCAAGTTCAACGATAAATCACTATGCAGTCTGTTCAACTATGGAATGCTCTACTTAACTAACTGCTGAGTTAAGTAATAACTATTGAGTTATGAAACGTGCCAAAACTTTGCATATCTTTAAGAAAATGATCAAAGAACCTTTTTTTTTTTAATAATTACATGACATCTCAATTTATTATTTGCCTAAAACATAGTTCCATTCCATTAGTTGTGCAATGCGTAGTATTGAGAGCAAAGCATGGGTAGGTATTTAAATGTTTAAAATATCCCCATGGCCTCGATATCATAACTAATTTTGGCCACTATAAAAATACTAGTAGTATACTTAACTAATCTTTATAAGATATGACTTTTTTTTTTGTAACATCGAATGTTACTCGTCTTGCCCCCATAAGTATCGAGTTCTGTGTAAATAATATAGGCTATTTCATATAGGTATGAGGGAGTCTTTCTGTGTGTTTGTTGCACTGTGAAAAATAAAATGTTCAAAATTTACAGAACTCATGCAAATGCAATCAGATAGTATTTTATATTTCAATCTAGCTGCACACTTTTTTTTTTCGTTAATTTTGTGGAAGATCCTCATGGATGTCCTTCACACAGTGGGGGATGGCGAGGGGGTCTGCCTGTCTCTTACCGACTACAAACCACCCCTGTGTTGCCTTCGCTGTGGCACATTGTGGTTGCATTGATGAGAAATGAGAAACACTGACAAGAATTGTAGATAAGAATAATGTTTAGAGAACAGTCAGAGTTTAAAGACAATCAGTGCAGAGCTTTCTAGGTTTTTGAAGCGTTAAAAAAAGCTTAATATTTTTATTTACCTAGGTGTGATAATACAGTAAGACTTGGACACAAAACTTATTGCCAATATTTTTTTAACAGGAGTTTCACTATACGAAATTAGAAAGATAGATACTCTTTATTGCACACTAAAAAAGTATTGTACAATCTAAAAATATGTTAAGATATAGTAGCAAAATAAGTATTTTGTATTTATATCCAAATAATACACAGAAACACACATTCATACATTTATGTAAATGGCGCACTAGCGTCAAAACACATAGAGTACCTACTTGTCTTTAGCTTTCAATTTTGTAAAGAAGAAAATTCCCCTAAAAAAATATGAGAATTTCAACTTTTAGATATTACTCGTATCGCTCTTATGTTTCTCATAGAAACAGGCAAGATGTGTAAAGCTAAGCATTTTAAATCGAACTAATTTTGGAACGATTAAATCCGTTACTGCAAAAGTCCATAAGAACCAAACATTGCATAATTTTTAAAGTAAGTATTTCTGGTTTTTCTCAAAATAGAATTGAATAATTCCAAAATATAAATATATCTTCCATTTAATATATTATTCACAATAATGGAAGGAAACGTACAGCAAGTAAAGGAGAAAGCGGGAGTCGTGGCCTACCAAGAGGTCAACTATCAACAGCATCGAATAGAGAGATCGCAGAAAATAGAGAAACATGTAGGTACCATCACAATCTTCTTTCTGTTAACTTGCTATATATTGAAGTCACCTTAAAAGCGCTACGGATATATTCGTTGTCTGTCTGTCTGCCCATTCCCGTCACCTCAACATTTTCATTTCTGCGGTGCACATTTCATTTGCACCTGGCACTCTTTAACAGTCCAACATTCGATACCGCACATCTTTGCCCGCCTAACCGCCGTTTAGTAACACCTATGCAAGGTGATTAATTTCATGGAAAAGTTGAAATTGAAAGATGTATACAAAAAATCAACCGCTTACCATCAACAACAACAATGACGTCTTTTAGATACGTGTAAGTAATATATAATTATTTTAATCAGAATTAACAGGAAAATAGAATACTGCTTATAAATTGCTGCTAATTTAATCATGAGGTTTAATGAAATCTGCTCCTAAATGAATAATAAAGTACTAGGCAGGGTAGGATACTAAAACCAAAAATTGTGCGTCGTGAACGATTACTTTCAAGCAACTTCAAAGTTAAACAATTAAATATAAAAATCTTACTACTAAAGGCTTACAAAACTTTGACAAATTTACAAAAGATTTGACAAAACAGAGATTCTTGTTATAGTGTGTATTGATCTATGACTTTAGAGTCTACATAAGAGACGATTTCAAACATTTTTTTATGAAATAAAGATAAAATGGGTTTGAGTTTACCAACAAATTGTTATAAATATTTTTATATCATATTAACCTATTAGAAAAGTCAAATATTGTAACAAAATTCAAAGCACTATTTTAATCATACAATCTGAAGAACTTGTTTTTGAAACCTACACGAATCACTGCGACCACTGCCACATGTTTGGACAACATATTTACAGACATAGTAATTTAGGGACACGAAAATAATCAATCAATTAACACTATTGATGTTAAAAAACAACTGACCTATAGGGAAAATCTGTATTAATTACTAAGACAATTATATCTCTTGTGGCTAATCAATTGTCACTTACATTTAATCAATTTGTTGATAGTGGTGTATTTCCGGATGTTATGAAGTCTGGTAAAATTATTCCCTTATTCAAATCTGGTAGTACATCGGACCCAACTGACTTTAGACCTGTCTCAATGCTACCAGTATTTAGCAAAAAGAAAAATATGCATACATATTTTTTTCTAAAATAAATTACAATGTTTTTTTAATACTAATAATTTACTACACTATAGACAATTTGGTTTTGCAAGGGGTCGCTCTACAACTGATACCAGTGTTGAGATAGTATAACATATATTTGATGCCTGGGAAGATGGCAACGATTCTCTAGGTATCTTTTGCGATTTATCTAAAGCTTTGGATTGTGTTGTTCACGAAACGGTGATCAGGAAATTACAGCACTATGGTATCAAAAATAAAGCACTGTACTTTTTGCTTCATATCTGGATAATAGGATTCAGAAAGTTGATATTAATGGTGAGTGGTCTCCACGCTCTGTTCTATTCTCGGCCCTTTTCTGCTTTTTAGTATATATTATCGACTTACCTCACCTTCTTAAGGAGAATCTCGAGATTGTGTTGTTTGCACATGATACATCACTACTATTTAGACTACAACGGACACTTTCTAATTTCACAGACGTAAAGAGCGCCATTTCGCAAATGGTTCATTGGTTTGACGTCAACAATTTGCTTTTAAATGAACAAAAAACCAAGTGTATACGTTTCACTACGCCAAACGTCAAGCCAGTGAATACTACTGTGATGATTAAGAATGTAGAGTTGGACCTTATGGATACTACGACATTTTTAGGTATAACACTAGATTATCGAGTAGACTTAGCTCGGCAGCATACGCAGTAAGAAAAATTCGAGAGTTGACTGATGTTGATACAGCACGACTATACAGTACTTCAGTTATTTTCACAGCATAATGTCGTACGGTATTCTACTATGGGTGAATGCTGCCGACATTCAAACTTTTTTTTACTTCAAAAGAGAGCGATTTGAGCACTTTATAATTTGGACAATTGTTTTTCATTGAGGCAGAAATTTAAAGAAATAAACACAATAACAGTGCCATGTAACAATGTAATATATGTTTATAAAAACAAGGATAGCTTTTGAAAAAAAGTAATGTACATTCTATAAATACCAGAAATATAAATAAACTTGTAGTATCTGCCTCTAGGCTCCAAAAGATAGTAAAACTTTATAATAAAATCCCAAATGATATTCAAGACCTAAGTATTAACAAATTTGAATCCGCAATTAAACGTAGATTATGTTAGAAAGCCTATTCCTCTATTGGATTACATAAAAGACAAAAATGCTTGGGAATAATTTAGCGGCTATTTGTTAAATGGTAATGTAATGTGGGCTAGGGTGTTTCAATTTTTTTTTTTATGTTTCACTTCACTGTCTCTTTTATTTGTTTTGTTCCTAATCTTATTTTTCTCTTTATTGTCTTTTTACCTTTTAGTCCGAAATAACGGATATACTGGCACTCATCGGAAGGATGTTGTGGTATATTTACAGAGGCCATTGTATTTATCTGTAAATTGCAAAAGAGTTGCCATGAGTTTTGTTTGCCCCTTTCTTCTCATAAGGCTCAACCCCTTGGAAATAGGCAGTTGTGGATCGGCACAGGCATATCATGGATTTTGCATAAGCATAACCTTTATGTTTAAAAAATCCTTACTTTTTAACAAAACAGAGATTGTTGCTATTGTGTGTGTTGATCTACGACAACATTAAGGTCAACATTAAGGTCTTACGTTATCATGGAGTAATAATGTTGAAGATCGATTCACGAGTCGGAGCTGTTTTCACTGCCAGTTTCGCCACCATTGTTCGAAGTTTGGCACAGTAAACATCTATTATTATTGCCTGACCAGACCTGAGAACGCTATAGTAAATAACACCATAAAAAGACCACCGAACAGTTACCATTACCTTTTTTATTGGTAATCTTTACTTTAGGGCACTATTGCGGATTTTGACCTTGGGTCAGCCATTGCGTTTTTTTTGCTTACAATTATCCTAAATAATTCACTTTTCGTTTTCTGTCACAATTCGATCTAATGTTCCTTTATTTCTGTACCGATTCATAAACACAAGTTTCAACACGCATTTCATTCTGCAGAGCAGTCAAATCATGAGGCACCCATTTTTCATACTTTTTTTCTGATTGATTTGATGCAAATGAGTCGTAGATGGGGTAACGTTAAACCATGCCGCTTATTGCTGGGTACTTTGACTCGACTTGGCATCCACCGTCTCTTCAGCGTTATTCACCTGTGTGCACAGGCTTTCACGTGGTTCGTTCTTCACGTCGAAGTTTTCATTACGGAAGCGTTTAAACCAAAATTCCTTTGTTCGCAGTAAACTAGAACCCAACCCACGCCCACCTATGGAATCTGTACGAAAACTACGTCCTTTTACTAGAGAAGGTTCAGAAAGCATGCCTGAGTCTCTTATACAAAATTTAGAATAGATACTATCCTTTCATGTACCCTACGTTATATCTCCTTGTTATCCTACTTCCGAGATATTACTCATTCAGTATGAAGAGAGCGCATGATCAGATCAGAACAATGTTATGACAGACGATTATGTCAGCATGTCTGGTATACTGCGAGAAGTCTGGATGTTAGAAGAAGCGTAGTTTTGTATTTGTATCATAAATAGATAAAGTTTTTATATAATATAGTTTAATCTATATTATCGTTCTTCTTCTAATTTAGTGTAAGTGCCAGAGGCAGTTCTGATTAAAAATAAACTAATAAATATTTTTTTTAGTCTGGTACCCCTAGATTTTTCTCGTGTACTTTATCAGTTAAAATAATAATAATGCTTCATTACTGTTGCAAATTATACAAAACAAACTCTACAAAAACTTACTTGGTAAGCCATGGTGTAGAAAAATAAAAGAATAATCTTGAGAGGAAGCTTCGCTTTGTATGATCTATGTGACCATAGTCTGTGAACACCAGCTGTTACACCCACGGCGCACATTACGTATAAAATATAAGCTGAAATTAATTGACGTGAGATGTAACTAAACGTGGTGTAACTAAAATCATACATTTATATATATGCTATGAGAGTCATAAGTATAAATTTCGGAGCGATTCAGTGTAACTAATAAGACTGTTTCAGGTGACCATATTGGCAAAAACGCTTTTGCGGGTGGTATGACCAATTAACGAACAAAATATTTTGCATGAAACCTTAAAAAAGGGAGGGGATAGAGCAAAATCTCGCATAACCCCAACGAAGACCGGTCCAGCGGTTACAGAAACAGGGTTTTTTTATTGCTAAGAGCTGTATAATAGTCATAAGTCCCTGTGAATGACAATGAACATACTTTTACGATTTAGTATGCAATATCATTTAAAAATCATCATATAAAAAATGTTTATAGATAAATAAAATAAATAAATATGTCAGTGTTTATTTTCAAAACTTTATATATATATATATATATATATATATATATATATATATATATATATAGACTACCGCCCATGCACGCCTGCAACTCAGGAGTCACAAGCGCGTTGCCAATTTATTTGGACGATATTGTGGAAGGTTTCTAACTTTAGATCGCCAACATTCAGAATGTATAACATAATCGAACTAATATGGACTAAACTTAGGAAATTTCCTATGTTGAAAATAAGTTTACTTCAGTTTGATCGTTTGATGTCTATAATACTGCCTTAGTTTAGTGATACTAAACGCTAGCAGTTCGATACACAAGTATTTAGGAAAAAATTAAAGTATTACTTATTCATTTCACTATTTTTAATTTTAGTTAACATTGGCTTTGTTTAACTGTGCCACTAGATTTTACTATTTAAGTTTACTATTGTTGAAGTGTAGTAATTAAAATAAATATTAGGGATATAGACGTAACACTTCTTCATGAGACTAACTCGTACTAAGTAATTATTACTTCATCTGTATCAAACAACCACAGTAATCTAAAGGAAACTGTATTTAAATCTTAATCAACAATAAAAAAGGTCGATAAAGGTAATTTATAAGTGTAGAATTATTAGAATAAAAATAAAAAAAATGAATGCTTACCAAAAACAATAGTCTGCCATTTAGCTTTTGTAATTAGCAAATAGATTCCATAAACCGAGCCTATGTGCAACAATGAAAAAAATATCACATTGTGCCATACTAGATGCCATTGCTTTGAGCGCATTGTGTTTTCTGTACTGTTTTTGATAACTGTATCGTTGTTGATTACATCATGCATTTTGATCACTTGTATTTGTAATCTAATGCTGAAATTAAAATTTAATTCTGAACTTTATGTCATTTTATTATTCAGTTATTTGTCTTTTTGACAACATAATTTTAACTTTAGAACCTTAATCTAAAGAACAATTACCTGAAAAGGATATTAAGTAATAAAATAACTAGTAATTTTATTACTTAATATCCTTTTCAGGTAATTGTTCTTTATGATTTGATAGCAATAAGTAAATGTTTCATACAGAGAATTATTTAAATAAATCGGTCTGGAATACACTTACCTTAAATTTTATTGTGATAAAATATCCTGATAAATTTTAACACATCGGTTATTTTTCATTTAATTATTTTTTTTACAAAACAAACAAACATAATGAAGACAATCGATGCGTAACTTCTTACAACTAATATTTATCAAGCGCATTTATACACTTTTATATACCAACATTTTAAAAAGTTTTATATACCCATAAAAATTAACCTATTCTTGCCGAAAAAGTTGAAAATTGAACAATACTATTTATGGGTCCGTATTGCTAAAATAAATGGTTTTCTCTATAATAATAATAATAATAATAATATTTCACACATCTCACACACGGCCGTCTGATCCCAAACTAGGCAGAGTCTGTCCAATAGTAACCAGACTGTTGATAAACACACTTATACATTTTTTAATACATACATATTATAGATAAATTACACCCAGATACAGAACAAATTACCGTGCTCATCACACATTATTTGTCCTGTTGTCCTGAGTGGAAATCGAACCACTAGACCAACAGGCCCGTCACATATATTTTATTATATAAATATATTATTACCGATTGCTAGTTAGATCGGAACAAAATACTATTTCGACGAGGTCTAAAAATCGACCCCCTATTAATTAACAAAAGTTCCTAATTGAATTTTCAAGATACCGTGTTAGTTGTGCTACGTGTACCAACTTGTTATAAGAATTACTAATATTTTAGTAGGAAGAATTATGGCAGAGAATAAACGACGCATGTAGAGACATTGTATTTAGAGCTTTTCTAATGAAGCATATAAAAATATAGAAAAGCAAACAATTAACTAACAACCATTGCCAGAAATCCAAAAATCGAAGTTAAGAAATAAATGTAAAATTCGGACTCAAATCATTCCATTCTTACATGCGCCAACTATCTTCAACAAGTGTTATGATGTGTGACACCATCATTGAAGGATGATAGAACTATAATATTACTAGTGATCAAAACTAGTTACAGACTTGTTTACCCTACAATTTGAAAAATCCTTATCTGTGGGGCCAGCTTGTTCATATGTACCAAGGATACAGATTCCTCGAGTTGAAAAAACCTTACAGTCACTCATATTCACATCAGACAAAGTGAGTAAGGTCTTAATACATTTAGTAAGTAACAACTCAAACTTGTCAGTATTCGCATATGATACCAAAATTGTGTATATATAATTAAAAATTAAACATACTCCCTAATTTCAGCAAAATTTCAATTCAGCAAAACCTGGACCGTATTGTACAGTGGACAAGAGAATGGTTGATTTTACTCAATGAGACTAAGAGTACTGTTCTGCATATAGGTCATAACAACCCCAAACACAAGTAAACAATTGATTACGTGCCATTACATGCAATAAACTCCTAAAGGGACCGCGGAGTTATCATAACACATAACCGATCACATCATAATGATAATAAAAAAGGCAAACTTATTCTTGTACATGATTAAAAAAGCATTCTATGTTATCACCAAGGAGCTGTTTTTCAACATCTACTTAACATACTTAAGACCTCTGCTAGAATTCGCTTTCCAAATATACTCGTAGAATTCATATTAGAAACAGGACTTTCAAATCTTAGAAAGAAAGGGTAACAACAAAACTCTAAAAAAGGGCAACTAAAATGGTTTTCTCTTTAAAAAATATGTCATACGAAAAACGCCTCTCGGAACTCAACTTGCCAACACTGGAACATAGAAGAATGAGAGGTGACCTCATAAACATACAAAATACTCAACCACCAATAAAACGTGTGAGATATTAAAACCATGCTTACAATGAACCCGAACACACAACTAAGAAGTAACTCATGAAGCTTGGCAAACATCGGTGCACTAGCAATCCCATAAAACAAACATCCCACAAACACAAAACACAAGTTGTGCATTTGTGGAACTCTTTACCGGAAACTATGAAAACTGCCCTGAATATAAACATTTTCAAAAATAGACTTGATAAAATTTGAAAAACAATGATATTTAGCATTAAGCTGCTAGTGTATTAAATGTAATAATAATATTTTTTGTAAGGTCGTATTACTTCAGTCGAGCCGGTGCAAACGCTGCCGAAGCATGGCTTGGACAGCAAGGACCTAAATGCCTTAACTTTTTTAATTTGATAGGTAGCAAACAAGCAAACAAGTCACCAGATGGTAAATGAGTACCGCCGCCTAAAGATAGAAATACGGAGAACTGTATTTTGAAATTAAAATTAGTAAATAAAAGTACCATTATCGAACTACAGGGTTAAAACATCTTCAATTAACAATCATAAGTCTGTTTTATAAAGTGAATTCTAAGTATATGTTAATATCAATTTCATATTTATGTATCGACTTTGATTTCACATTTACATAAATATACCTCCACTGTTTGGTACTGTGATTATTAATGTTAAAATTAGTTTTTATTTTATTTATTTATTTAAAAACATGTACAAATCCGTACTTTCATACTTATGTATATTACAAATGTTAAAGTGATTTTGTTTGTTACGTTTTCACGCCTAAACCACAAAACTGAATTTAAAAATGTCTTTTTTCTTTTTTTAGGGGTTTTTATCCTTTCAGATTATGACAACCCTTTTTTTTTTTTTTTTTAACGTTTGGAAATCCCCTCGGACCGTCACCCCACCGGGGTTTGCGGCGGGGTGGTGTGTCGGACTCGGACCGACTGGGCGGAACATCATCCTCCTCGTGCTCCCCGCCGTCTCCGGCCAAGGAGGCCATCGCCGGGGGAGTGTGTTCCGCTCGTTGCGGGAAAAGGCCCTCAATCACTTCTCGCAGGAAGCTGGGCTGGAGAGTCTCCGTAAGGGGGGGGGGGGGGGCGACGCACGGAGCTTTTGTCGCACCGCGCAATAAGGGCGACCCCAGGGGTCACGATCGAGACCCTCCAGCATCTCCTTCCTCTTTATCTCTTTGGCGCGGCTAATGGCCAGCTTCAGAGTTTTCCGCGCCTCTCGGTACTCCTCATGAGATTATGACAAACCTTTTTTTTTTTTTTTTTTACGTGTGGAAATGCCCTCGGACCGTCACCCCGCCGGGGCTCTCGTTCGGCGGGGCGGTGTGTCGGACTCGAACCGACTAAAACCACACGGTGTGCCCTCTTTGCGCTTCCAGTTTAGGAAGGGTCCAGGTAGCTATCTCCTTCTGGACCCCTCCCAGCGCCGGCCCGCTCCTGGCGCGGGCTCCGTCTCAGTGGACCCTCTCTTTAAGCGGCGTCCGGCACACGCGGACGCCGCCCCCTCGCGGGTGGCCAACTAATGCGGGTGGAGGGGAGAACCCATCCCGTCCACCCGCGGCCACACTCAGGGCGGCATGAGGCGCAGGTGAGCGCGCCTCCGCCGCCCGGTTCGCCGGCGGCGGATCAGGTCCGAGTGGAGGTCGTCCTCCCGGGCCTTCTCCGCCGCCTCCTTCTGCGAGATTACCTCCTCGCAGAAGGTTGCGACCGCGGTAAAACAACTGTCGCTACCGGCCATGGAGCGTACTACGGCCGGTAGCGAGAGATCCACTCCGATGACTGCAGTGAGGGCCCGGCGCTGCGCCGCCCATGCGGGGCAGACCGCCAGCGTGTGCTGGGAAGAGTCCTCACTGCAGTCGCAGTGGTGGCAGGCGGGACTCAGTTCCCTCCTAGCGACCGAGTGCAGGTACTTTCCGAAGCAACCGTGCCCGGAAAGCACCTGCGTCAGCCAGAAGGAAAGGGTCCCGTGCTGCCGCCCTGCCCACTCGGCGATGACCGGCTGGAGAGCCTCCACGGCGGCGAAGCCAACGCGTGGAGTCTCCAGCCGGAACGACCATCTCACCATAGTGGCTCGGCGAGCGGCTTCGCGCCACTCGCGCACGTCTTCGGGCGGAGGGCGAAATCCGCTCTCCGCCCGGAAGTCAGCCACTCGCCGATAAACTTTGGCGAGCACTTCCGCCTCCAAATCCCACGGGGGTGTTCCGGCCAAGGCGCAAGCCGCCTCGGTGGACACCGTGCGGTATCCGCGTATGATTCTGACCGCCAATATCCTCTGGGGGCGCCAGAGGCGCGCCCTATTCGTGGCGGTCAGAGCCGCCACCCACACCGGTGCACCATAAAGCGAAATGGACCGGACAACCCCCGCGTACAGCCGCCTCGTGGGAACACTGGCCCCGCCCAAATTGGGCAAAAGTCGCCCTAGGGCGGAGGCAGTGTCCACCAGCTTCGGACCAAGCTGTCGGAAGTGCTCGTCGAAGAGCCACCTACCGTCTAGGACCAGACCCAGGTACCTCATCTGGGCCCGGACCGGTACGAGGACCGAGCCGACCTCGATTGAGGCGCCGGCGGGTGGACCACGACGGGGAGATTATGACAACCCTATTGTAACCATTTTAACTTACATCTCTTAAAGATAATTATGGATACAACCTTAAACTTATATCATAAAGGAGTCATGTGACAGTATCTTTGGTCCATTAGATGTAGGCGAAGACAGAATCATTTGGGGAATTAATATGTCACATGAGTTTAGCTCTAATGCTCCAGCGACAATTTCCCTCTCCCTACGGTTCTTGACACCATTCCATCAGAACATATTGTACATTTTCTTCTACCCCACACACATTACAATGTGGAGATTCAGTTTTGTGCATTAAGTATGCAAATTTGTTTGATAGAATGTGTAATCATAATATTATTAGTAAAAATTACATCCTGTAAACCATGGTATACGAAGTGGTTCAGATTGAATAGG